GTTCTCTTCTCAATTTCAGACATTTTAAAGTCAGTTGAAATTTGGCGAATGCAGTATGCTAATGGAATTCTACAAGCTTTGAGTTCTGTTTTTAATGACATTCAACTGAATAGTCTAGAAGATGATGAAGGCCCAATTTCATTGGAGATGTCCAACTACTCAGAGTGGAGCCAGATCAGGGATGATTCAACTCTTGCTGAACTGTTTAACACCCATGATTTGGAGGAACTTAGCTCATTTCATATCTGTATGGATACAATTGGCAGTAGTTTTGAAGAGTCATTTTAATTTGTTAAAAGGGATGTTATTTATTTCATGGTATGGTACATGGTTTTTGTTCATCTCTTTGGAGCTGTTACATCATATTGCTGTGAGATTACTCTGTATTTACTTCAAGGTATAAGAAGTACAAGTAGTAGCCAAAACATTTCCTTGAACATAACAGTATGTTTGCATCACATTGTTATTTGAGAGAACTCTCACTAGTATTATGTGGTGATTTTCAAAACATTATTCCATGAAGTCATAAATTAGTGTAGTACATGTTGAGTCACTGTATGTATTAAAAGAAATTTAAAGTATTGTTCTTAATAATACTGTTTATCTTGCTCTCCTGTTTAGTACCATGTATTTCTTATGGTCATTTATACAAGAGAACATCTTACTCATATCAAATCCAGGCAGCAAACTTGATTGAATTCCTCTATAATATCTGTATTGCCTTCCAGGGATGAATAGGAATGCATCATTTTCCACAAGTTCTTTGACAATCTTATGCAAATCATTCTTTGTGGATTTCTTCACATGTTTGCCAGATCTTTTAATTACAGATTGGGTGTGGTCGTAGTGAATCATGATTTCACTTGTTATTCCTAATGAGTGGCAGATTCTATCCAGTGATTTTGTAGATGCAGCCGGTCCTAACTTCTTGATTGCTTCCTTTACAGTCTTGTTGTAAAATTCCAATTGCAGGTCAAGTGGAATGTTCCCACCTCTTCMAGGTTTGTTCTTTACTGATCTGTTCCATATGAGCTGATGTGATGACTGAGGGCTTAGTAATGCATATACTTGAAACATCTGGTATAGGCACTCCAAAGAGTACTTTGTTGAACTTCCACCTTGATGCTTCAGGTACATCAAAAAAAACTTAAAGCAGCGATGAATCCGCCCACCATCRCCTTCTGATATGGCATCAAAGAAGTTGATGATCAGCATGCCATATTCCAAGAGTGACTTTTGATAGGCCAGCATGTCATCTTGAGCTTTCACATCGCTCTTTGATTCTTGGAGGATGTTGGTCTCACATGAGGATATTATGGGAGGGTCAYGACTTGCCTCGTGATCACGCAAGTATTTTCCATTATGGGCGAATGTCTTTCGACATCCAGGAAACCTGCATTGGTATCGTGCACCTGCTTTGAGATCCATCTCTTTCTTTTGTAGGCGTTTTGCTGATTCTTCCATACTTTTATTTCTGGACTGKTCAACCACAAATGTGTCAACCACAAGGGAAGCTATTTTGTGAATGAAAGCCTTCTTATCCTGTTTTGGTGACTCCTTTTGTGGAAGCTCAAATTTAGTGKGCTTTTTGTCATCCAAAGAGCTCMTTCCAAGTACCATCAGAGCAMCTGCTATCACTCTGGATTCAACTTCAAGTATAAAGAATCTTCGGCATGGATTTGCTGCTGCACTAACATCACCTTTGACATTTCTCCTATTGATGAGGTTACGATCACTGTATAGCGTACACTTGTCACCAGATGATGAAATATTAAACAAGTTGGAAAAGGCAACCTGCAATAAATGATCATGTAATATAATTACCATAACAGTCATTAAAAAAATGATAAAAGACTTCTGCACAAATAACANTTGCTGTGTCTGAATAAAAACATTTTGCAGATACAAAATCTAGAATAGTGTGAAAGGGGACTGAGTGTGGTTTCAATAGATAATACTCTAGGAATATATGAAACAATGTATATTTATGTGATAAACAAAASAATTACATTTATGTTTTACATTACCTCTAAAAACTTATTTCCAGAGTGCCAATCAGCAATTTCAAAATGTAGACCTTGTAGTTGTTRCTCGGGTGTYAAACCATTTGACAAAGACGCATGGRCATTTACTGCTCTCTCTKCAGATAACTGATCTCCAACAATTCCTTGATCACCATATTCCCGTTCTTCTCCTTCTCCATGATAAGGGGCATAATTATGAAGTACTTGCAAGATCTTTAGAATTCCATCAGCATCATTRTCACTTTCATGTATCATGCCTAAAAATGACTAAGAAAGTAGATCATTGTGAATATAGGTTATAAGTCTTCTATTGTACTGTTAGATTATGAAAATACAAAAAATCAAACCTATGTGCTAGTAGGTCTAGTGAATAATACTATTCAATATCAGTGTGCATGCACAAAAATTCCTATATATAATTATTATATACTATCCCTCTAACATTAAATAATAATACCATGATAATTTTTAAGAACAAATCCTCCAGCTTGTTTCAGAATTGCATATCTACTTATAATATCAATGAACACTGATCTGTTTTAAGCAACACTAAAGAATGTTGCATCTAGTCATGCACTACCTACAGATACAACACTAAAGTTTCTGGTGAATAAAGTTTTGCAGTCCACTTACTGTTTCTGTTTTCTCATTCATTTCTTTGATGTAATTATGTGGTATATGACAAGTAGTAACATCAGAAAGGAAGTTAAGGCAAGGGATATTTGTASCAATAATTCTTTCTGCCAAGGTGARATAGTTATCTCGTTGCTTCACATTTTRATATTGACTGGGTAAACACTTTCCATTCTCCATTTGAAGAACACCATCTACTGGAGGCTTTGTACTAAGATGATTGCCTGAGACCCTGTTCTCTGTAGACATATAGGTGACGCAGTGCTTATCAATATTCTGATGATCCTCAGTCATGTGATGGACATC